TGTGATTATCATAAGACACATTCATTCCTTTGTTGATGACAGGTCAGACAGGCGAGCAGCTGGCCCATCCTTACCTTATCCTGCTTACACTTTACTAAGGGTTTTTACCTTCACAAATCCACGTTCTTCTTCTTGTCTTTTCTCCTGTTTTCCCCTTTTCCTCCCGATCAGATCCGAGACAAAAAAAAAAATCCGAGTTATTCCAAACGGGACCGACCCTTCCTCATCCTCACTTCATGCCTCCAGCAGAGAGGTCAGACTTAACGCTGAAGTGAAATCTGTGAGGATCCTCTGTCATTGTCATCACAGAGGATTAATCCAGCTGCATCATTTACAACAAAAAAAAGTGAGATCCTGAAGTGTCCCAGCTCTTTGTAGCTTCTACTTCCTTACTACTAAACTTGCATCAACCCCCACACAACAACATGGCCGACCCTGCCTGCGGGACTGGAGAGGCACACAGCTGGGAGATCGGTCTGGTACAGCTGCTCCCAGATCAGCAGGGAGAGGAGTCGATCACACGGAGGAGAAGAGGCCGAATAAAGAACCATTAAAGACGGGATAATGTGAGGGACGAGAGGGCAGAGGAGCTGCAGAGTGGAGGATCAGGAGAGCTGGAAAAAGGGAGGACTCGCAGCGCCTCAATCTGTTCCATTCTCTGTCTCATGCACGGATCGATGGCGACCTCTGCTGGCGGACTGGTGTTACTGCAGCCACACATCTGCAGATCAGATTTATTGGCCATGAGGAACTAAACATTTGTTTTATTACTTACTTACGTCAGCCTGTTTTATGTTTATATTTAATGTATTTTTTATTATTATTTTTTATTTTAATGCTCAACTTTAATTGTATTATTTATTTATTATGGTAGTATTTCTGAAAATATGAACTTGAGACAATATTTGATGAATACAATATCATGTTTGTTTGTACTTTTATTTTATTTTCTAATAGAACAAATATAAAATGCACAATTTTCCAAATATGTGAACACACAAGAAATGTTCATCTTGTTTTAAATGAGTCTTATTTGACAATTTACAGGAAATAGATATAAACATACAGCCAAAACAAAGACAAAATCTGATCAGCTCATTTTCAGACAGGTTGTTATGTAGATAAGATGGATCAGGCCAAAAAGAGAGAGAATCTTTTATCCGGAAACTTTCCAAATCTCTTGTAATGTATGTATAAAAGACATGAAAAGGTGGATTTTGCATAATTGCTGTTGCTATATCTACACTGTAGCTTCTGTGCATATGACTATAAAGCATTTGAATCCTTTGTGTCTTGTGGTTTTGGTGTAAAGTGCTCTTCTCTTGCGCCTTCCACAGGTGAAAGCTGGAACAGGTTATGTTCAGGCTGTGATGGGTCTGCAGCGATGTTTCCAGCACTCTCCCTAAATTGATCTAAATCACAATTCAGTGATGGACTGACAAACTGGATGATTGCAGCGTAAAATAACACCAGCAGCTCCTCGTTTTCATCTCAGCTTTCACATGGACGCAAAACTTACACTAATGCAAAAATAAGGTGCTATAATAAAATAACCCTTTAGGAATATTACAATCATGGCCATAGATAGTGTGTGGTACCAATGCTTTATACAGCTTCACTAGTCTATGTGCTTACCTTTAGTTGTTTTTTTAACATTATATTACTTTTATGTTGATTTGTCCTTAACCTCCCTCCTTACGATCATCGAAACAGCGCCACAGAAACACGTTATTATGTTGATATCGCTTAGTTATAGTTCCATTAAGAAGCAACCTGAATCATAAAAGACCATTTTATTGAATGTTTACTGTAATTATGTAAAATAAATAAATCATCAAACATCAATGAAACTCATTCATTTTGTTTTATTGCTGCCAATTGCATCTTCTTGCATCTCTTTTACTGCAGCACTTCCGGACACATACATGTCTTGTTGTTAAGGCTGAGTGATAAAATACTTGAATCGTGAGACAGTAACCTCAATAAAACTCTTTCAACGCAACATGTCAACACCGCCAGGAGGCGCTATAAAAAGCTATCGCGCAAACATTAGAATGAGTCATATGTTCTTATTTGGTGATATAAATCACAGACACACACACACACACACACACACACACACACACACACACACACACACACACACACACACACACACACACACACACACACACACACACACACACTGGCTGCTGCTGTTTTCAGACCCCTCTGTACAAACAGTAGCATATTTTCCTTTACTACAGCACATACAGTACAGATGTTATTGATGAGTTACTGTAAGGAGCTCTTTTTAACTTATATGGACTTTATGTTACATTTACTGAAATGTTTTTCAGTTTCATTAAATAACACAGATGTTATATCAACACAGAATTCAATGTCATTTGATATAAGTTTGGGCGAGTACCGTTGACAGTAATATTCACCAGGAGATTACTGTAACACTGTCATGGTGGAAAGTTTATTACGATATATTTTGCTATGATTGTTACAGGAAGGCACTCGTGGTGTGGTGAGTCAGGCCTCAGGTTAGGACTGGATCAATATGTTTGCACTTGCAATGCAATTAGATGATGAGTAAGTGACATTCTTAAATATTGATAGAGCAGATTAAAAATGATCAAAACTGGTTGAGAAATACCTATTTTACTCGGATTATACAAAGACAACCCTGACCATATTCTGATCATGTGTTTATACTATAAATTAATTTAATGCCAAACTCATTTAAAGTCCAGAAAGCAAAAACGTGACATACATGCCGGCCTTTTTTTAACGGTAACGTGCAGTTTTTGCCTTTATAGGGGAACATCAAAATGTCATTTATTCTGTTTTAACCTTTTGAAAACCATCGCCATAGCCTAACCATTATGTTCCCAATATTCTTGACACATAGATAATCAAAGCTGTGAGGAAGTGATTTTGCTCTATTTACCTTTCCTTTTTGAATTGATTCAGTAATGTTTAATGGAAATAGATCTTATGTCGTGTATAAGACTGTATTCGAGGTCTGTACATTACTGTACACACCGTCAAACACTCCGTTGCACTTTTCTCTGGTTACCACTTGGGTGCAGTGCTTTCTCAGAGTAAAGAAGATGTTCCGTTGCGGGGCGCTTTTTCCTGACATTCCTTCCCCTTTTCATATTAAGGATTCAAAGTGTTTCTCTGTGCTAGGCAAACCGTCACATGACGTCAGAGCCAGTCGAAGATCGACCGGTCTGAATCACCCACTAAAGATTCCACACATGACCCTGATACCTGTGTGTACCAAGCTGTAATGAACAATGACTAATACAGACAGTCACGAGAGCCTGCAGTATGGAAAAGGGCAATCGTATATAATGTAAAGCAACCAAACTGTAAGATTTTTAAAGTACTTCTACTCCACTACATTTCAAAAGGTAATATTCTTATTTTACTTCCAGATTAAAGTTTTTCTTTTTCCATACACGTTTTCTGGGGCCCCTTGTCATGTATCAGATGTATGTGACTTGTTGGTTTCATCAACATATCCCCTTTCAATTTCTCAATATGCTACAGATCATTTTTTGGGGTTTTGTATGTCGATATTTGAGAATGTGAGAGAGAGACAGTACATTTGTGGAAATAGAGTAGGGGCCAGCTGGGAATCGAACCAGGGTCTCTCATGTATGAATCTATGATGGCACCATAACGGCTCATAATATGTACAATTATTTATGTTTTCCAGGCAAGCAGTTGCAAAGAAATGTGGCCGACTTTTCGTTTTTTCCCCTAACTTCCATATCATCTCATGACCCCTCAGATTTGTCCTTTTGGAGAGACTTGACACCTATTGGGGAACACTGGACTAAAAACGAACTAACCCTACGTCAAATTCTTAACAATCATTTACATTGTTGTGTTGGTACGTTATCTTGAATAAAAAGTAATTTTCTTCAACTGCATGGATTTTTGAATTGTTTGTTTTATTCATCATTTTCCTGCGTGAAAAGTAACTGGTTGCATAACTGAGTCTGACAGAGGGGACATCCGTCAACAATAATAGTAAATAATATATAAATAGGCTAATATGTCAGCTTTTTGCCACCGTCCAATAAAAATCCTGCATTTTCAAATTTGGTCCTTTTGAATTTGTCAGAACAACTTTGCATTATCATATCATAAAGCTAATACAAACATGTTTTGGAAGTACATGGTCTTCGCATGACTGTGATATTTATTTGATCCCTGGGGATAAATAAGGAATAGAGGCTGAGATAAGAAATCAACAGAATGAATCAGAAGCTCATTAATAAAAGTTCCTGGAACAAGATGACTCAGATTCAATTGTTCTCATGCTGATTCTGACCTCTGACCTTTACAAATACCAAGAACAATTATAAACAGACCGAGATCTAAAAGCAGCAAGTGTCATATTTCAGCACCGGACAGCTCCACAATGCAAGAGTTACAAATATAATATAAACAGCTTTTCCTATAAAGTCCAATACAAAAAAAGCATGACGAAATGTTGTGATTTTGAATGTTAAAACTGTATTAAATGAATGTATTAACTGGTAACCTCTGAACAATACTTTAGTCATTGTTTGTGAAACTGACTTTAACAGAAGTAGAGGTGAAACATGTGAAAAATGATCCAAAACGTATCTGTAAATGAAGTCAACTCTTTGATGCCTTGGATAGAAACTTTTTGAAGCTGTCAGTCATATTTCAGCACTGGACGGCTCTCCCCCCC